ATAATAATAAATAATAAACTACTGAAGATGTTCTACGGAAGCAACATTTACTATCTTTGATAATTCATCATCATCATCAGTCCTTTTACGTCCCCACTGCAGGGGCTCAGGCCTTCCTTATGGATGGTTAAGGAGGATGGGCCATGACCCTCCACGCTGGCCCAATGCGGATTGGAAGGTATTAACAGCTGCAAATGCAGCCAGGACCAATGGCTTAACGTGCCTTCCGAAGCACGGAGTAGCTCGAGATAATAATTTTTTGGTCACTCATCCCGTGACCGACCCTTGCGAAAGTTGCTTAACGACAACGATCGCGGGCCGCGGCGCTTATCCACTACGCCAGCGAGCTACTCACTTTGATAATTGAACTAAAGTTATTGAATAAAACTAAGATTATTGAAGTAAGCTTGTTAAACTATACAGGTGTATAATAGGGAATATGCACATTTTTGGAAAATGTTTTTATATGATAATTTACATCGATATATAACTGTAAAAAAATACCCGGCACTGAAAAACTAATGTTGAAAAATATTTAGATAGACTTTATTCTAAAGCAATAACGATTGTAATAAAATATATTTAACCCTTTTTTGAATCAGACGCATATTCCCTATTATATTCGATCACCTGCATAAGATAATGGAAAATCGTTAAAATAAATCTCCATTTCTAAACTAAAAAATAGTACAGACCACTTATTTCTTATACCAATGATGACTGTTCAAAACTAATATTTGGTCAACTTATAAGTTCCGATTCCAACTTACATAGTGCTACGCTGATTACAAGTCGGGTAGAAAATATCGCTCACTGAATAGTACAGTGGCACAACTCAAAAAACCATAATTTCGAGAAACGCTCTCCGAAGTTATGAAAATCTCATATACTGGGAGGAACAAAATGACCGACACAGCCGAAAGTTTCAAGTTAGGTTACATGTAAACGTTCATTTTATTTGACAAATATTTAAAAATAGAGGAGGTGTAAAAATGGAGTTTAAATTTCTAAGTGTTAACAGCCCTATAACGCGCATGCGCAATATCGATTGTGTGCAGATTACAACGAACCGCGAAATACATTAATTTAATTTAATTATTTACCGATATCTTAATGATAGTCGATGCTGAAAAAGACTGAGATAAGCACGCTCTTTTCAATGCCGGTGCATGCACGCGCAAACACATCACATTTCACACAAAACTAAATACAATCTTCACTAAACTAAAGTTAACACTCAAGACGAACAGTCTAGTATCTTATTAACAAAAATTCAATTAAAAATGCACTAGAAAAAAACAAAAATCGTAAAAAGACGCTTCGCAGCGGTGCGTCGGCGGCGATGCGCAACAACACTCCAGCGCAAAAGGTCAACGGCGACTGATCGGCCGGAAAATATCGACAGAATAATGAAGCCGCCTGGCGGCTGGCGGGCGGGTGGGGCTTTGATATCGAGGGACGAACTCGGTTCACATTTTTTTTCGTCTTTTGATATCACGCATTTTTTAATGTTCTTTTTAAATGTTATTTTAATAACAAATTCCTCAATGATTTTAAAACAAAGTTCATTTGTGTTAATGATGAGTCGCTGCAAGATTTGTGAGTTTATCGAGTTTAATTAACGATCCCGTTGTTAAAGGAGTATTACCCCATTCAAACACTTTTTTTTGGAGAATGAAGAATGTTAACATTTTTTTTTAATTAGCACTCCATATTCTCTGTCAAAAATAAAAAATACTAGTGAAAAAATTACTTCGATACGACAATTAGTTTCCGATTTAGAAATAAAACAAGTTGTAACCGCACGACGCGGGCTGCCGGTGACGGTGTGACGTCATTGCACAACACGCACAGTCTGGCTCACTTGGTCCGCTCGCAGTCGCGCGCCTGTGCCGTCGAAATTTTACCTAAATACTTTTACTGATGTCCAATCCAAATACTAGGAAATCATGTGTTGTGCCTAAATGTAGAAATACAACTACTAATTCGCCGGGAAAGTTGTTTTTTATAGACATCTTTTCAACCTCTTTTTTCTTCACATATAAAATGTGAAAGAGAACACTGTATTTGAAGCTCTCTAAGTTTAAAAAAAAAAGTAAGTCAAAAAAAAAATTTCATTCTGACCGGCTAAATGAAGTGTTATACCACTTGTGCCAAAATCTTTAGCTTTAATCATTTTCAGTGTGGTACCAACACCTGAGAGCTTAGATTTTTTTCAATAACACTTGGTAGCAGTCGTTGAAGGCTCTTCGCTTCGACGATATAGCCACATTAAAAATGCTACAGTATGTTTATAGCCACCTCTTCTGGCGGCACAATCTTCGCAGGCTACATTTAATACTTCTTGATCCTTTTCATTGCATTCTAAACTGCAATGATAAGGTGTGGTACGTACGCGGTGATCTGGCGTGATGCTACATTTAACCGTACATACATCACCTACTTTAACTTGAACATAACCAATAGCATCATTGCCATAGCTGTTTCTTGCCGATCTGAAATAAGTTTCAAATAAAAATAAATAGCCTTAAGTATTTTGTTAGTAAAAAAATACAAATAAATAAATAAGGTTTAGTACATCTGTTCAAACTTCTATATTTGCAACAAAAAAATAATTCATTAAAATGGCCTTAAGTATTTTGTTAGTAAAAAAATACTAATTAATAAAAAAGGTTTAGTACATCTGTTCAAACTTCTATATTTGCAACAAAAAATAATTTAATAAAATGGCCTTACGTATTTTGTTAGAAAAAAATAAATACAATAAAAAAAGGTTTAGAAAATCTGTAACGTTTAACCCACTACATCTTCATCCTAGTTACCTATCCTACTTCCTACTTATATTATAAATGCGAAAGTTTGTGTGTGTGTCTGTTTGTTATCTTTCACGCAAAAACTACTGAACAGATCTGGACGAAGTCTGTAATTAATAACACATAGGCTACTTTTAATCCTGGGAAAATGTACAGCTCCCGAGGGAATCGTGGGCGAAGCTGCTGGCGGAAGCTAGTTTGCAATAAATCAATGTATTTATTTATTTAAACTTACTAAGAGCGGTACCTATATATACATAAGTACCTATAGCCTAACCTACCTATAGCTACAAAACTATAATACATATTTGTATTTAACGTAAAAATTTAATGGTAGGTAGGTACTTCAACTATTTGAGTTGCATTCTTCCATTACGACATTAGTTGCGTATTTTGTTTTGATAAAACAATTTAGAACAGATAAACTATTAAGCATCAATAGTAGCAAGGAAAGTTTACTTACCTATGCATTTTTATTCCTCGCATTTCGGCGGCAACGAAATTACTATTTGTTAATAAATAATGCGCAACTTTTAATCCATCTATTTTAGGTAGATTATACGATTGCCCTTTTTCGAATCCTTTGTTTATTTTATTAATCGAATAATATTTAATATTATTAGACTATTAACTTAATAGACGGGCGAAAACACAACAAAATAATGCGCAAGCTATTATATCTACTATAACCGCTGGTGACTTGATACTAAGCGGGGCGCGACGCATTGTGATATGACGTCACAAGCGGTCACGTGGCTGTTAGCGGGATTCGATATTTTTCGAAACTTTGAATGCATATAAAATCAAAATTACTAGGTATTTTTGACTACAACAAAAACTAGTGTATTTGAATACATAAGGGCTTTATTGAGACTAAATTTCAAGCGATTTGGCATACCTAGTAACATTCTTCATTGCTCTTTTAAAATAACGTAGGTTAATGTTAGACTGATCTATCTACAATAATTTAGGAAATTTTACACTCGGTTTCTTAATTGATAATTTAAAGTTAAACGTCTCAAACTAAGATCACTTAGTTTTCGTTACCGATTTTTTGTTTTTTGATGATCAGTTGATAGCAGTTTGATAAAATTAGGACTATTTGACTTGTGAAATTAAAAAACTTAGGTTATTGAGAATAAGCAGTAGAAATTTTCTACTTTTTCAAATCAGAAACCGGCTGTTAGTCGGTAAATCGATTTAAGCATTTTGACTGCCTTGTTTATTGATTGTCCGGTAGAATTTGCATGAAAGCAGTCTTATAAATCACAAACTAGTTTATTTCGATTTTAGAAATGAAGAAGTCAATGACCGATTAGAAACTTTTCCTGAGTACGTCCCAAAAACAGCTGACTCAGGGTTGAAAACACTCATTATTTTTCAAAAACTTTGTAATTTAATATCTCCGAAACTATTTGACCTAGACATATATTTTTTTTACATCATATTAAAGACAAATAGTACTCCCCAGGAACCTCAGGAGTGTCGGTCGTTCTGTTCCACCGAGTATTTATAATTATGAAAATGATATTTTTTTAGCATAACAGTTAAATCGTTTGTATTATATTATAACTGTTAGGTTTTTAATTTTTTTTTAAAATTATCTATAGGATGCCACCACACTGTTGTGGCGTTTTCTCGAAATAATGGTTTTTGAGTTGTGCCACTGTACTATTCAGTGAGCGATATAAACTAACATGTTTAAAAATTATAACTAGAAATACAAAAAACAATTAATTTAATTTAAATTTGAATCATCTATATGTGTGAAGTTATAAGGTCGCTAGGTATTAAAGTAGGCTTAGGATTCAAATACCGCTACTACTAGAAACCTGTTGATTCAATTTCAGTATTTGAGTACCTGAGTACCTGCTAGATATTGACTCGACTCTTCTTCTTCTTCTTTTTTAATTAATGACTAATCTGCGCATTTCGCACAATTCTGCCAATGTCAAGTTAATAAATTAATTTTTACATGTAAAATGACATTAATCGACCAGAGTCAGTACTTGAGTCAGTTTGACTCGGCACATCTCTATAAGTGTCAACACCAATGTTATTGTAATTTATTATCTTTATCTTCTTCTTGGTCTGTGTTTATAAGACGAAACGAAGTGACGAGTGAACTGGCGCTGCTACTGTAATTTAGAAGTTTAGCTTTTTGTCGTCTTATCATATTAAACAAGTATGAGTGATATATTAAACGCTGCTGAAGCGGCTTCTCTCGCTGTCCAATTTGATCACAGGAAGGATATCGATAAGGCGGTGGAGTGTTACAGAACAGCGGCTCGTTTGCTTGATAGAGCTCGCGATACTGTACCACCGGAGCGAAGGCCAGAAATTCGCGCTAAAGTTCAAGAATATCTTGCGAGAGCTACTGCTCTTCAAGACCAACAAGGTAAGACGTATTAGACGTAAGAATTAGTAATTTTAGAAAGAACCTGGATATAAATCCTTATGTATGCTTTATGTTATTCGTGATGAGTCACGTTTAATTTAATACAATTATGACTCGGATTGTGTTTATGAGCCACATTATAGCATTATTTTGAAAACCATGGAAGAATACAACACTTTTATTACTCTTTCATTGCCAAAATTTGAACCGTTTGATATTTATGTTTGAAGTTTTATGATAATTTGCAGATGAGGTAAAACAAGCTGAAAGTGAGCGTTGTATGCAACAATGTTACTTCTTGATGCAACAGGCGTTGGATGCCGATGAGGCTGATCTAAAAGATTTAGCATTACAATTGTACACACAAGCTGTGGAATTGGCAGTTAGTGCGGTCAGTATGGTCATTTTGGTATCTTTTTAATTTGATCCATTAACTGAACTGAAATCAGCCGAATTTGAAAAACAGAAACATTTAATATTCATACATATTTTTTTACTTGTTTTTAGAAAACAAATGATCCTGATATAAAAGCAAAAATTAAAGGACTGGCTGCTCAAGCATTGGATAGAGCTGAAGAAATAAAAGGCATTGACAAAGTTGCTTCATTAACTATCAATGAACCTGCTAGGCCAAGTAAGAATATGTTATTATAGCTTAGTATTAAGTAATGCTTATTCAAGCATATCATGTTAATACAAGATATAAATTATTTACAACACACTATATTAAATAGTACAAATCGGCTTTTAATCTTTGATTAATAATTTACTAGGATTTTATTTAATCATTCATTAAGAACTACCACCAGAACATGGTGATATAAAATTATAATTCTAAACTGTCAATGTATGTATGTGACTATGCACAAAGATTATGTGATGAAAAGCTAAAACATACATACAGTGAGATTTTTTAATAATCTTATCAATATTTTTGTAATGTTTTTTTATTATATATATTTTAGGCTTGATGGGTATTTTTGTTATAATCTATTATTGGTTATAAAATTAGCTTTTATCTTAACTTGCTTTCCAAAAATTTTGTATCTCTAGAAATACCTTAATTTTTATTGAATTTTGTTTGTACTGTAATTACTAATTTTGTTATGTTACTTACTATTTTGAAGTAATCTAATGATTAAGGTTTAAAATCAATTTAAGAATCTGACAGTTTTGTATTATGAATTTGACAGTCTTATGTGAATCAATAGTAATTACCCATTTCAATAATGTTATTGGATAAAATATGTGACTTTGTTTATTTTACTTCTTTATACAATGTTATACGAGGGTCAAACTGAAAGTTCTTAGAACTGGCCACTTATAAACAATATAATAAAAAAATAATTCTAAAATTTGAAAATATAACTCTTTGCCAATATTACTGAGTATATATTTCATTCATTTGTCATTTGTTTTACGATTTGGCGGCAAATTGAAAATTGTCTGTGTCACGTCATCATGAATTTAACACGAGAAAATTTTCGTGCAATGATTTTTTATGACTTTCGATGTCATTTAAGTCAACAAGAAAGTTATGATAGACTACGATTGGCCTTTCACGATGAAGCCCCATCTCGTGCGACTGTTTACAACTGGTTTAATGAGTTTAAACGTGGTCGCACTAATCTCACTGATGATTTACGTGAGGGACGGCCTTCTACGGCGACGACTGAAGATAACATCTGTGTTGTGCGGCGTATGATAGAGACTGACAAAAGAGTGACCTATCAACAGATTCGGACAAGCTTAGGCATCGGTATGAGTCAAGTGCACAAAATCCTCCACGAACATTTAGCGGTCAGGAAGCTTTGCGCCCGGTGGATACCTCATAATTTGACTGAGGCTCAAAAACTCCATCGTGTGGATTGGTGTCGTAAAATGATTGAAAGATTTAACGGAGGTGACTCAAATGCTGTGTTTGACATACTAACAGGTGACGAAAGCTGGATTTACTGTTATGATCCTAAAACCAAAAGACAATCTGCTCAGTGGGTGTTTCCTTTCGAGGAGTTGCCAACTAAAGTGAAGAGAGATCGAAGTGCGGGAAAAAAAATGGTGGCCTCGTTCTTTGGAAGGATAGGTCATTTTGCAACAATTGTGTTAGAGGATCAAAAAACAGTTTCTGCAGAATGGTACACTACCAATTGTTTGCCACTTGTCTTGGAAAAAGTTCGAGAGAAACGACCTCGCAGTAGGATCCTCCTTCACCACGACAACGCCTCGTCGCACACCGCCAAGCGAACGATCGACTATTTGGCGACATCAAACGTTGAATTACTGGGTCACCCGCCGTATAGCCCCGACCTCGCGCCTTGTGATTTTTATTTATTTCCAAAAATTAAAGAAAAACTTAAAGGAAAGCGGTTTATGAATGCTGAAGAAGCGGTGGCTGCGTATCGCGATGCCATTGAAGAGACCCCTAAGGACGAGTGGGCAAAGTGCTTTTCCCAGTGGTTCCATCGCATGCAGCGGTGTATTGACGTGAATGGACAATATTTTGAAAAGATATAATAAAACTAATAACTGGCTAATGTAATCAGTTTTTGATTTTCTAAGAACTTTCAGTTTGACCCTCGTATTGGAACATTGTGTATCCAAAATTGATATTATAAACAAATTTTAATATTTATTGAAAGTTCAAAATATTTCTTTTGTCTGTTTGGGTTGATTGCCTGAACATTGATGAAAATACACTCCTTAGTAGCTTGAAAAAGGAAAAAGTGCTTGAAAGATTCATCTGTCCTGTAAGGTCCTGGGTAGCTCAGTGGTTAGAGTAGTTGCCCAGATTGTGAAAGGATCCGCAGGTTCAAGTTCCGTTTTTGAGTTAATGTATTTATAGTTGCTCATGATTATCTATGTTTTGCACTAGTGCCAAAACGCTTAGTACTTTATAGTTGTTTTGATTTAATAGATGTTTTTTATATGTTTAATACAGCTGTCTCACCAAACAGAGCTCAATTGCAGAGAGAACAAAGTGTACATTTGAAAGTCAGTGGGGGGAAACACACATATACTGATGAAGAAAAAGAAGTCTTAAGGAGAACATCTAATATAAACAATAACTGTTTCTTACCATTCATGGACGTAGATCTATCAGAGAAGTTTCAGTACGCTTTACCATTTGAAGACAGAGCTAGTGAGTTGAAGCTTTCATCTAAGCAGGAACAGGAGTTTGAATGTTGGATTCGACCTCATGAGATATGTAGTGATCCCAAATTAATTGTAAATGAGCATGTAGACTGTTTCAGTATAAAGCAAACCGTAAGTTAATTGATGTTTATATAACTTATAATGTGGTGCTTGTATTCAGCCCTAGTTTTATATATTGTTTAGTTTTACTTTTTTATATTATGTATCTCTTTCTTCAATGTTCTAGTTAGGTGAATATTGCCATGTTGTCTAAATTAATATTGCATGATTATGATAAAATTTGTGAGACGTAATACATATATGAATGGTTCCAATTTAATAAAGACTTTTTCAGATAGTGTCAGACTGCTCGTTCGTCGCCTCACTAGCAGTTAGTGCTTTATATGAAAGAAGGTTTAATAAAAAGATAATCACTTCTATAATTTATCCTAAGAATAAAAACAAACAGCCTGTGTATAACCCATTTGGCAAGTACATGGTGAAGCTTCATTTAAATGGTGTAAGAAGAAAGGTAAGTTATGTTCGGTATCCCCTCTGATACTTGTATTGATTACATGACTTTTAAATGACAATTATTATTTCATTAAATTCAAAGTTATAAAGAAATAAGTTCATTAGTGATTTTTTATTTAAATGTTATAACAGTTAAATTCCAGCTAATATGGCGTGTAGTAAATATTCATTGTGTGACTGAATTATGTAGTTGTATGATCGGTCTTGTGCTCATACTTATAAGGTGTAAAACACAATGCACTATTACTCTGTTTCATTTCACTGTTTAATCTTCTGCACCGGTTTATAAGTGAATCATATTAGTGGGGTTTCACTTCTATTAATGCCTTTTTCAACGTCTTTGCGTCTAGTTGTATGTAATTAGAATCACTGTTACACTTGTTTAATAAACTTTCAGGTGATCATAGATGATCGGTTGCCATACAGTAAACATGGCCGACTGCTGTGTTCATACTCGAGTAACAAAAATGAATTTTGGGTATCCATGCTCGAGAAGGCATACATGAAAGTGATGGGAGGCTATGATTTTCCTGGATCTAATAGTGTAAGTGAATGATTTGTATGGAAGTAATATGCGAATTTAGCTTCGTAACTTAGTCAAAGTCAATTCAGAAATTATTGAATATACAATTTTATAAAATTGGTTTGAATTTGAAATGATAAAATTAGTTAACCAACGCCACTACGCGACCTAGCAGTTTCTATGCAAGCTACGTTCACAGGGATCTATGCATTCTAAAGTTTATGCTTAACAAAGAAAAATGTTGGCAAAAGTCAAAAATACGTCGTTTTTGGTTAGTGACATTGGCATTCTCAACGTGCGAAACACTTAATTAATCCTTCCATCGATCATTATCAATCTGAAAAAAATATATAATATATCCGAGCAGAATATAGATCTGCACGCGTTGACCGGGTGGATACCGGAGCGTTGCGCGATCAGGTCCGGCGAGGCGGACTTCAACGGCGACGCGCTGTACGACACGATCCGGGCGCGGCTGTCGCGCGGCCACGTGCTGGTGACGGCGGCCACGGGCCAGCTGTCGGACGCGGCCGCCGACCGCACCGGCCTCGTGGCCACGCACGCGTACGCCGTGCTCGACGTCAGGCTCGCCAACGTGAGCCACATTTCTAAATAATATATCAGTTACATTTAATGGGGGCGGTGACCAATTTTTGTTTGCTATATATTAAACACATATTGTTTTTGGGTAATCAATAAATTACGACGATACATTGAGTTGAAATGTAGCATGACGTCACACTTTTGTTAATTTTCTACTTAGTTGTGACGCAGCCGGTGGTGGACTCAATGGGGGGGGGGGGGGGGGAGAGGGCGCGGTCCTGGGGTTCGTCCAAATGGGCTGCAGCTGTCTGCCATAAATCTTTTTTTTTTAATTTTATAATAGAGTGAAGTGAAGTAATCATAATAATAGAGTGAAGTTAAAAATGTATGCGCGGGGTGGGGTGGGGGGAGGGTTGGGTTGTGTAAACGCAATATCAAATTTCTGCCCTCGTTGGCAAAGTTTTCAATCTGGACGTATTGCCCCCGGGCACAGGCGATGAGATTAGTCCGCCACTGTATGTCAACCACCCACTCCTCAACTTAAATGCCTATTATCTATGAATTGAAGTAAAATAAATATGTATCTTATGTTTTTCTATTATTTTACTGACGGACTAAATATAATTTGTTTTTATGCTATTATCAAATAAACGTAAGATAACTATCAGGTAGTGATGAAACCGGCCCTATGTCTATTTAAGTTTACCAGGCTTTTGGTTTGTGTGTCTGAACAATATCTATACCCTAATGCAGGCTTATTGTTTAATCTTAATATGTATCGCAACCCTATCGAATTATATAACGTTTAAAGTCGCAAATCGCCTTTAGAATGACCAAGAACGTAATTAAAAACTTGGCTGTACCCGTTGAAAATTGCAGTAAGCATATGACTCTTTCGTTTGACATTTCTCAATGGCTTTCCAAGTAATGTAACGATATCGTTCATACAGTATCTTTCAAAAGAGCGTCGCGATATTAAGTGCTATCACATGTCACATAGTTGTAACATGAAGTTCGTGAATATCTTTCAAATGTAAAATTGAAGGCGCGGGAAAAAAAAATCTATTAAGTCCGTCAGTTAGTAGGTAATAGATGAGGACCGGAGGCTTTCTACGTCACAATTCTGTAGAAAATGTACAAGGTGTCCAGTCAGAATGTAAAAGATGGCCGAAGATATAATGCCTCACTTCAAAGTGAGGTCTTATTTTGTTTAAGTTTGTTTGCGACGGCGCCAAAATTCGAACTAAATGTGATTTTACAATGTCTGTAATTAATAATCAAAGTATTTCCAATAAAATAACCGAGTTTTGTTTCTGACACAAGCCACGCGCCAACATGGCAGTCAAGTATATATTCGATGTTCTAAGATGTACTATTACATATTTTAATAAATAGATTAATGTTAAAAAACTTTATTCAAATCGCTCTGATTTTGCTAGATTATCATCCGGTTTCCGAATTGAGAAAAGGACAAAATCTCAACTGATATAAAAAATATAGAGATTTGGCTACCAGGTAATTTTAGAGGAAACCACGAAAACACACCGTCACAGCCGTATATCAGTATTCTAACTGAAGTTTACATTTGTTTCAATACTCTAAAAGTATGAATTACATTTATTTAAAAACTAAGAATTTAGAAAAGAAACATGCCAAAAAGGTTTGCGTAGCAGGTCACCAACAGATTATATTCAATAATCTATGTTTTTTACGTTATACAAGTCAAAAATCGTAGTTTCACGAAACTAATCATTAAAAAAACTCAAATAATCAATGAACCTGTATAAGTGACGTTTAAGTACAGCTTGTTACGTTCATAACTTTAAATTCTCAATTCAGAAACCGGTTACCGCGATCTCTTTCTCTTTAATCCCCTCCACTCCTTACGTTAGATGTGCCTGTTTAGTTATTTACACCTCCATGTTTCCAGGGAGTTAAACTATTAAAGCTAAAGAATCCGTGGTCGCATCTACGTTGGCGCGGCAACTATTCTGAATTGGACACTGTACATTGGACGCCTGAATTGCGCGACGAGTTGAAGTACGACCCGGACAGCGCGGCTCAGTACGACAACGGGGTGTTTTGGATCGACTACGCGAGCATATTGAACTTTTTCGATGTGTTCTACTTGAATTGGAACCCTGAGCTGTTCACATTCACGTATTGTATACATCAGTGAGTATAATTTCTTGGTAAAATCTCCAGGCGATTGGATGTACTATAAGCAAATATTTAAATTTTATGTATGAAAGGTATTCACGAACTTCAGGCTACAACTATTTGACATGTGATAGAAATTGCGATGACGAGGTTTTTTAAAGATATATAATGAACGATAGCGTTTATTTTGATGTTAATAGGAATTTCCTGAGCAAAGAGATAGTTGTAAATCTATTGGGAAATGTCAAACGAAATGAATTGACATTTGTATCATTCAAATCATCATTCATTCCAGAAGCGATTGTAACTTTAAAAGTTACACAATCTCATACATAAATCACTATCAAAACCGCTAAACGTTTGAAAGGGCTTGTGATAAATTATAAAATTAGACAGTTATACCACAGGTTGGAAATACTGATGCGACCATGAACATTCTTTCACCTACGGGAAGCTACATCATACGCGGATGACATCGCTCACTGAATACTACAGTGGCACAACTCAAAAACCATATTTCGAGAAACGCTCTCCGAAGTTATGAAAATTTAATATATTTATAATTATGAAAATCATTTTTTTTAGCCTAACAGTTTAAATCGTTTGTAATATATTATTACTGTTAAGTTATTAATTTTTTCTTTAAATTATCTATGGGATGCCACCACAATGTTGTGGCGTTTTCTCGAAATAATGGTTTTTGAGTTGTGCCACTGGACTACTCAGTGAGCGACATAGGCTTTAATTTACGATACGGGAAGTCGCGGAAGAACAGCTATTTTATTTATAGTTATAGAATCTGACCTTAACAAGATTGAATTTAAAATTATTTCATATCTATTTCAATAGGAAATGGGACGCAGGTAACGGTCCGGCGAAGGACGCGTATAACATCGGCGAGAACCCGCAGTTCTCCCTCCACGTGCAAGGGGAGGGCGCGGTCTGGTTACTGCTAACTAGACACATCACACAAATAGATGACTTCAGGGACAACAAGGAGTATATCACGTTACTGGTCTACAAGAACAATGGCAAGAGGGTATACTATCCATGTGAGTTGTACAACTAATATTATAAAGAGGAAAGATTTGATTGTTTGTTTGTTTGTTTGCAACGAATAGATTCCGAAACTATTGCACCCATTTTCTTTCACCTGTGAAAAACTACATCGTAAGCGGTGATCCTAGGCTATATTTTATCCTGAAGCAAAGGGATGAAAATGGGGTAGAAATTTATATAGGCAATTTTTTTTTATGGGATAGGGGGCAGACGAACAGACGGATCACCTGATGGTAAGTGATTACCGTCGCCCATGGACACCTGCAACACCAGAGGGGCTACAAGCGTGCTGCCGGCATTCAAAGTCAAAGTCAAAGTCAAAATAATCTTTATTCAAATAGACTTCTTAAAAGTACTTTTGAATCGTCCAACATGTTTTCCCTACCACACGTTCAGGACGTCTTTTGGCTGATAAGAAGAACGAGCAAGAAACTCACCAGCTCTAATATGAGTAATGACATTTACAAAAACCATGTCATTACCAGATCAATACATTATAAACAGAGATAAAAAAAAAATATGGTCTTATAATAATAACATAATCATTTAATAATAATGGAAACAAGATAATGAGTTTAGAAGTAATCACCTATCCAGTTGCTGGATCATCTCAAGTCCAAGCGTTCTTATCTGTTATATAATCGGATACCTTATAATAAGCTTTTTTAATAAGTATTTTTTTAATAGTAGATTTAAACTGCATGATATCTAATTGTTGTATTTTGCTTGGGACCTTATTGTAGAAGCGCACACAAAGACCCTTGAAAGAGTTATTAACTTTTTGCAGTCTAGTGACAGGCACCGTTAATTTATTTTTATTTCTTGTATTCAAATTGTGTACATCACTTTTTATAGAAAACAAACTAATATTTTTACGAACGTACATTAAGTTCTCGTATATGTATTGAGAAGTAACAGTCATAATGTCTATTTCCTTAAATTTCTCCCTTAAAGAGTCTCTAATCCTAAGATTATAAATTGATCGAATTGCTCTTTTCTGAAGCACAAAAATTTCTTCACTTTCATCTCGTTCCTGTAGTAACTGGTTACATGTGTCCTTTGAATCCTTTAGCTCCTGTAGTGCTTGCCTTAACTGCATTTCTGTATTTTGTGCAGCAGCCTTACGGGTCAACATATTGAATCAAATTTCCTAAAAAAATAGAAACAAAGCAGAATCAATGTGAGAATTGGAAAGTTAATAAGTTTCAAAATATACTATTTTATCCTATTTAAGCACCTAAATAATCAGTAAAGATGAAATATTGATTTTAAATATAATAATATTCAATAGGTGGGTAGATGAATAAAAAAATATCCTAATTATTTTTGTTCAATAAGAGTTTATAAGAAAAGGTATCACTTTATAACCAATCACCAATTATAATGATAATAATAACTCATCAATAATCTTAAATAATTTATTATAATGTGCACCCCCTCCCATACAATTACTTTTTCATTTTTAATTTAAGCTACATTTATTTCTACAATATTAACATCTACAGCAGTGTCTTGTCCATACACTAGAGTCAAAGAGATGTAACATAATATAATCTTAGTTCTTTTATTAATCTGAATCATAAACAATAAGTGATTTCTTTATCAATTAATTTTTATTAAAAGTTAATGCAATAATAATATACCTAATGGACATTAAGCTTTATATATGAAACAATTAATGCAGAAAATAAGTTTCTCAGCTGTGTTAATGTTATTGTTTATTTGTACAAGAGTAATGTTTGTAAAGAGTAGCAATAATGAATGTCTGTGGCAACTCGGTCACCATCAACTTTACTTCCACTTTATGTCAAGTAAAGAGAGGTTAACAGTACCAAATTGTTATGTTTTGCGACGTTACTCACTATTCGTGAGTTTTGATAAGAGTAATGATTTGAAAATTAAGGTATCGAGAAACCAAAATGCCACACATAAAACTCATACAAGGAAATATAATGAAGTATCAGCAGTATATTTTTTTACTAAATTATGGAACAAAAGTACTTCCCCGGTTTGTGATGCAGCAGTCCACAATTATATCTTTTCTTGATAGATTTTTGTTTGTTTTTTCGTCTTTATCTTCTCCGACAGATAGACGTTACATATTAGTCTGGCACGATTATTTGAATGTAAGCGATTATATTTACATGGTAAGATCAATTATTAACACTTAAGGCTTTGTTTTCACTTTCACAAAACTAATATTAATAAATATCGCGATATATTTAATTTAAATAAAATTTTAAATAAAATTAAATCAGCTGTAACGATTTGACAACCGTACACGCCAGTGTTGCCACACCGAATCAGGGTCACCGAATCATCCGAATTAAAAAGTTACCATAGTAACCATTTACTATTCAATCTGTCATTGTATTTATATACGTGTTATGATATGAATCGAAGTCCAAATAAATAGTTTAAAAGCTAGTATTCTATAAAACTGCTTTTAAGGCCCTCCTTGACCTCCGCTTACGATCGCTCATAAGTACGCCGACGACGCATCGAGAGTTAAGATACACTCGCTTGATTTCATACATTTTTAAACACAAAAAAAAAACAGTTAAATAAACTTTCTATCGTTTTATTTTAAATATATTTACGAATAATTACTTGAGTATTAGTAATAATTTAAGCCACGACACTCACAAATTGGAATAGGGATAATGATTAATTTTCTTTTGTTAGTCCATTAGGTAGGTTATTGAAGAGTACTAAACACGTATTTTTATATTTTGTAATGTTGAAATGTCAAATAACGTCATACCTTTGTACATTTTCTACATAGTTGTGACGTAGCAAGCCCCCCACTCCTTAACTTTAATGCCTATTATCTATGCCATTTCTTGTTATCTTAAAAGGAAAAAAATACATATGTAATATTTTTCTATTATCTACCTGACGGACTGTATATAACTTTTATTTTTTTTACACAGTCACCATGCCTATTGGGTGAAGTGATGTATTATGTTCCAGTACTAGGGACATTATTAGGATTATGATGATGTAATGACTGGGTTGCAGATGATCCAGCTCCATATATAGACGGTGTGCGTATAAACAGTCCTCATTACCTGTGCAAGGTGATAGTAGGAGAGGGCAGCGCAGACAGATATACTTTAGTTGTGTCGCAATACGAGAAGAGCAAGACTATATACTATACGCTCAGAGCTTACGCTACCTGCCCGTTCTCGTTAAGCAAATTGGAGCCTTACCACCATGTGAAGAACGTTAGTATTACTGTGGCTTTTTTTTTGGTTGGTACCTTTTGTTACGAGTACCACATATTGTATATTGGAGAATATATTAAACAAATAATAGTAAAGAATTGTATTATGGAGTATCTGAGACATCGAAGGTATCACAACACTCAGACCTGAGACAATATAGAAAAGTTCATTTTCTACATTGACCCGACCGGGAATCGAACCCGGGACCTCAGAGATGGCGACACCTTGTTATCGGCGTGCGAACCACACGACTACTATTGGTGAAGAATTTATCTTGTATAAAGTTATGCATCACTGCCACATTGATTTATTAATTATAGACATTGTAAAATTACATTTACAACCGGAAACTATGATATTCCAACAGATACATCTTTATTCTGCTAGTTATATTTGCAGTTTTAATACGCACTGTGGTATCGTAACACGTCCGAATGTTGGCGCTAACTAAAACAAAATAAGACCTCACTTTGAAGTGAGGTGTTGTCTTCGGCCATTTTTGAGACTGACCGGGCATCTAGTTGTATTGTTGATCTAAGATATTAAAATAAAATACTTATAGAAATATTGAAGATGTCTTCTTTTTACTAGCGTAGTGTGTTCAGAACCAAGCTTAGTAAGAATATCAAGTGGTTAATTTAAAGATTTATAAATTAGATATCTGTTTATTCCAGCGCATATCTGCATTAATCCAGCATATAAACAAATCCTATTAACTAGATCATATTCTACCAAGAACTTAATCTGGTTCGACCACGGGTACTGAACTAAACTAGTCCCTTAAATAATTTACAAATTCCTTTAAACAATAAAGATAAAATATATACATATTATGTTTCAGTTGAAAGGTGAATGGTCTGGTCGTACTGCTGGCGGTTGCGAGAATCACAGACAGACATATCCGAATAATCCTAAGTTTATATTTACTGTGCCTTATACGAGGGTGCCATGTAACGTGGTGATAGAGTTGAAGGGCCCGAAGCAATATCAGATCGGTGTGGATGTGAGAGTCGACTCGTTAGACGATCCGTCTGTAACTGCACCGTTTTATAAAGAATCCTCTGGACCTTATCGGTATGTTTATAATGGTAATTTGTTATGAAATTGCTATTTGTAGATTTGGCGAAAAATTTGTCTTGAATTATTTTGAATATACTCAATCGGACTTAAATTTTAGAGTTTGAGCAACTTTTACTTAGGTCAGTCATCGTATGGGTGACATACATTTTATTGCTACCTTTTCCATGGTCGTGAAGGCGCGTTGGTCCCGTCAGTATCTGAAGTCGGTTGTAGCACTGTCGTTACGCTTATATTGTTGCTTTCTATATTTTTTTGTTATAACAGTACGAATGAATTTCATTTTGTCAGGTTGCTTATTGTTCCGCTAAAATTCAACCACCTGACATTTCGAGCTGTGACGTCACATTTCAATAAACATGATATAATGCACTGATTATATTGATATTCAGGTAGATATAGTATAATGGCAAAATGCAAGTTGAGATTCTATTGAGATGAGATTATTACGCAAAAAATAACAAAATCGGGGCCCCGGTTCCATAGCGCGCGTAACGTAAACAAATGCCGCGCGTTATGTAACACTTAAACACTCAATGGACTAACAAGCGGTTTTCTGTGTTATGTTCTCAGATAACTAACCTTGCTTAAGAAAACAAAAATAGTGTGAGTAGTGATGGGCACATATTTTTAACGATGTCGATAATTCACATATCGATAAAATCTATCGATTGTATTTGATCACTTTCGCATTCACAATGTTATACTGAAAACATTTTTAATGCAGAATGCTTAAAAAATCCACTCGGTTCCTGACACCCTGAGATGGGATTCGGCCGTTTGGGTGGATGCCTGAACATATATGAGAATACGCTCTGTAGTAGCGAAAGATTCGTCGGTCCTGTTAGGTCTTGGGTAGCTCAGCGGTCAGAGCAGTCGAAAGTCGAAAGGTCGTGGGTTCGAATCCCATCTCAGGGTGCCAGGGACCAAGTGGATTTTTTAAGCATTTTGTATTAAGAAAATCTATCGATGTCAAACGAAATATAACATAATTTAGGACCATGTACGCTCATTTTATTAACACAACGGTCATATCTACAGAATGAACAAGTCAGTTATAATGTTTGCATCGATCAGGTCCGGTTTCGTGGTCCTCCAGCTGAGTAATCTGCCGGCCGGTAAGTATATAGTGACGCCGTCCACGTTCTACCCGGGCCAGGAGGGGCCGTTCATATTACAGATGAGATCCACGTGCGAGCTCACATGCGAGACAAGTAGCTAGAAGGCTACCGGTAGGAGATGCGAACATTCTACTCATTTAGGAGGACCTTTTTAAAGGATTTATTACCCCCCCCCCCCCCCCCCCCCTGATTGTATAATTTGAAAATATGTAGCACTATTTGGCATATGTAACATATTCACGAACTTCACGCTACGCTTTTGGACATGAAGCGATTGTTATTATAAGCTATGTATTGAAGGTAATTTCGACTTTAATTTAATTTTAGTTTTTAATATACAATACATAAATAGTAGAGTATAATTTCTAGTGACATCCACAAAGGCAATGGCGCTCGACGTGTAGCTGTTTACTTGGTTTTTTAAACAGTTTAATTTCAAACATAGTTTTGACTACATAATGTGGTTAATTTATAAGTAAAAATTAATATTTTTTTGTGAGAATAATCGCCTATAATGATTAAACTAAACAGATTTTAGAAAGTTGTCTGATCACCAGTGGTCGGAATTAGGTAGAGTTATTCATGTACTTACACTGATTTCATACAGCGAAAGAATAAAGTGGATATGCCTCAAATCCCGAGATTAATTTTAAAGAGCAGAAAAATCCCGTGATTTTTTAAATAAAAAGTTATTTACTTTTACACAATTTAAACTACTGCACGCACGACGTTGCCAAACTTACATCAATGACATCGGATGTCCAAAGATGTCCAAGATTGTCCATTAGAAATCCCGGGAAGGTCCACATTCATATCAACATTTAGATGCAAGTACATAAATAACTCTACCTAATTCCGACCTCTGCTGATCACCTATTAGCCCACTGAACAGTACAAGGTCACCAGTGGGCTAATTTCAAAATATTTTACAATAAATTTCAAAGGTATAGCGCTCGCGATATCGATTAATGGAATTTTGGAAAGTTTAAAGTCGAAATTTATTTAGAAGCTTAGTAACTTCTTCTTTGTGATTATTGGCGTTGCCCTTGTGGTTTTTAGCTAGAACTTAAGTAACTTAAACTTAAGTAATGTTAAATATTTACTTCTAACGCTTGCCTTGAACAATTCCAATTAACGTGAAATTAACGGTATCTTTAAGTAAGTCCCGATCGCATTCGCTGTCACACGTCAAATATTTGTAGCGTAATATTCGTGAACATCCTAACAAATGTTTAATTGAAAAGGATTTTAATTAATTATAATTTATTGTCCGATGATAATAAGGAGACAATTTCATTCCAATTATTACGTGTCAGGGATTGCGTTTCTGATACTTGGTACACGTGTGTTTTCCGTTATATTGTCAAAAACGTTATTTTAAAAAGGGAAGGCTTACATGCCTCTATAAAAAGTTACATTGAAAGTTTTATTGAACTGAACTACACTTATCGTATAGTTGAGTACAAACGAATTAGATGAAAAAACGACATGTTAACACACCGGTTTACGATTTAAAGAACAAAAAAATTAAAGAAAAAAAAAATTACCAAGTTTTAAATTGTTACAAAAGTTATTTGTACTATTTGACTAAACTGTAGTAAACCAAGAAACGCCATGTCCGTCCGTTTGCGGTTTAGCTCAAAAACTATTGGCACTAGATTTGTAATTTGGCAGAATGTTTCGAAATTTCGAAAAAAAAAAAATGTTTTTAGGGTATCTCCCGTACATATAAAGTGGGGATGATATAAATATTTTCATCTTCCTCCTAGTGTGGGGCATTGTTGGATAGGTCTTTCAAAAATAATGGGGATGTGGGAAGGTAGTTTCTCTATTTAGTAAGCGCGTGTGACTTACTATTATATCGTGCGCGAGCCCGACTCCCACTTGGGTGTTTTTTATAAATAAGATGACTTAGGTGTTTGTGCAGACCATAGTATGACAAAGATAAAATTATAATAAATCCATAGACTACGAGAAATTGCATTCTAAAACAGCTTCCAATCAAAGCGGTGAGGGGTATGACCCCTCTTAAGGGTTTTTGTGGTCGAAATTAAACGTAAAGCACATGGGTATAGTTTCCGATCCCTAACACATGATATATTTCCTTTTCTTGATATTGTTTTCATTCCGTCCTTTGCTTGGGTTGATGGAAGTTTATTTCTATGGGCACCCCCCAAACTAGACTTGGCAACTCTGTCTATCTATATCTTAAAGCAGTGGTTGCTAACCTTTTAGGCCCTAGGTACCATTATAATTGTTTTTTACATCCATGGACCCACTTGGTTCAATATGATGTACCAAAGTCTAGTTAAAAAAGATTTATTATTCATTTTATGTTTGTACAAATAAAATAAGCATATATGAGGCTTCGCGGGCCACTTGAGATGCTACTAGGGTGGGTAACCACTGCCTTGAAGATGAGAGATTTATTAGTTTGGTGTGTAAAAAAATTGTAATACTAGTTAAAGTTCACTGAGTGTCTTTTTTTTGTCACTGAAAACAGATATTCTATTATGGTGACAAGTTTTACGTATATAACGTGAAGAATAAATTTATTATATATATATATTGAATAAATTTATCAATTTTTCAATATAATTGTTAAATAATTTGAAAATATATAGTAAGCCAACGAAACGAGACATTATAAATAAACATGTAATGCTCTAGTTTTGTAATTGATGAATTATGCAACTCTTAGTAATAAATTATTTAGCATGGTCGCCGAATTTAAAGAATTTCGTACAATGACCCGACACTACATATCTCCTTCAAACATATTGCTGTTGCGCTCGCACAGATGCAACTAGCCAATTTTGTCACAGTTAAGTTAATATAGATTTCTTACATTATCTATAAGGCATAGAGGTCAATGTACGAAATTCTTCCTGTAAAGCGACCGTGATTTACTAATTACGATTGACTCGATTTTGTTGTAAGAATTTAATGTTATATGAACCATAAGAGTTTACTTTGTTGACAAATATGCATAATGATTGTTGATTGGTGTTTTTTTCTAATTTTTTTGTGTAAGCTGACATCTTTGATGTATGAAATGTTATAATATTGTAAATATGTATATAACCAAAAATTATATAGCCAAAATGATAAAGGTGAAACCTGCTTTTTTATGGATTAAAGGTTATAATTGATAAAAATGTGTATATTGATAAAATAAGTAAAGTATTATGAACTCACAAATCAAAATATCAAGCTATGCTACTAAAACAAGACAAATTATAATATGATAATATTTATAATTCTGTCAGTATCCATTAAATTACATATTTAAAAAGTTGAAACTACATATTTAAAATGAAGAAAACTATAATTTTATTTTTATGTCGACATATACATAACAGGCGTTCCGTGTTTATTAAAAGTAGTTCTTATATTCTTTTCAATAAGGTCCATATTGAATAAATCTGCGGGCAAGTTGGTCCTCAATGACAAGTCTTTGTTCGTGTCGTTTATGACGTATCGGTGTGTGTCTAAGCTTTAGTTTTTATAAGCTTCAGCTAATATTAAGCTTTCTTTATCGATGCCAGCTAGTTACCTTTTCGCATGTTTTTACCAATTGCACTGCTCTGTGATAAGTTAGATCTAAGATGAATCACTGTATAAATGATGTTGAACGAAATCTTTTTGTACATAATAATATATTTTACTAAATTAATTGGCGTTTTTTTTTTGTTTATTTCAAAAATTTATATATTCCAGCAGCATCCGTAAATTGTGACGTGGGTGATATTATTTTAATTACTGTTTGTAAAAAAGATGTTTAAAGACTTCGTAAAAAGGGTTAACGTATCCTCGTTGCCAAACGTCGTAAAAATCTTAAAGCGGTGTAGCTGACGAGCGCCGACATTCAGTATATATTTTAATGTGCTATATAGTTCAAAAGAATATATAGAGTAAGTACTTAGGTACTAAAATCCTGTAAGGCCCTTGAGCAACTACCACTCGTCGTATTCTATAGAGAGGAACATCTGACGATTTTACTGGGTAGGGCATGACCCAGTTTTCACCACTGGCTCGCGTTTAGCCGTTTGGAATTTTACGATGTTCTTATTTATATATTATGGGCAAATATATTATTTCATGTTGTACACGTTCTTTATAATGTTGAATTATGGAAAAGCTTGCATGTAGAGTCAACGTTCACTCATTCCTAACCTATTATGCCCAAAATTAGGTTATCTGCCTTATGCCATCTTTCTAACTAGCTTCCATAGGGGGAGAACCCCACATGCACGCTCACCAGCGGTAGCGGTATGCAGTAATGCATTTCCTTTAGTCTTTTAATAATGTGCATGGACAAATTTATTTTTTCCTATAATAATGTCTCATTGGCGAACTAATCTTTCGGGGGCCTTGAGCGGCATCAGATATTGCGTTTACACCTCCCTCCCCCCTGCTAAGACTACGAAACTTGACATAAGAAATTAATGTATTTAACGCGGCGACAAATTGATACCATTCCGGGTCTTAAAAAAACTGAAAATAGATAGTACATAAACTACTTTGGCAACTAATTTGAGGTAGTATCTTAACTAGAAAGCGGCGGCTTTTTGATGAGTTTTGAGGTTTTATTTAAATTTTATCTGGCAGTGATTTTCTTTTGTGGCAATTGAATTTCTTCTAAGGCGACAAATTATTGGCGGATAAAAAAGTAAAAATAGGCCTTCATAAATTCTAAAATGGGGTCGTCTATAAACTTGACCAAGGTCTGAAATAAATACAAACAAGATCTTAAAAAAAATAGTTTTGAATACATTTGTAGGGATCTAAATAAACCAAATTGTGCGTGCTAAAAAAACTATTCTTGGTCTATTTTTTTTTCTTGACCATCTTATTTATTATTAGTCTTCCCTCTTTTAAATGAACTTTAAATGAACCTACCTACTTTGAGTAACTTGGTACTCAAACATAAGTATTGTTGGTAAATCTAGGTAGGTACTCAAAGTAGGTAGGTTCATTTATTCTAGTGCTGTTTTTTTTTTATTTATTTTTTTATTAATTTACCTTCAATACACAAAATAACGAAAAAGTTTTAAAGAAATATAAAAAATCTACCTATTCCATTATTAATGCAGGCTTT